GACGTCGCGACGCCTACGCCTGCTCTATTTTAATTTACATGCATGTGAGGAAAAATTAACAATCCTTAAGTTTTAGTCCTTGAGTTGATAGGAGTTTTTAACCACCAAAAACTTAAAATCGCTTTAAATTGTGCAAACATCCACGTAGATGAGTTCAGCAGTTTCAGAATCTAATACAAAACTTTCATCTCGGGTAAATATAACTACCGTTTTCGGCGATTTTTTTCCACTTTGCATGCAGTGATCTTATCCAAAATACCGGAATACAATTTCCCACGAAACAACAAACACACGACCCACCTGAACAAACAAGTTATAATAACCTGGCGTTCTATTCGCGCTAAACAACTCCGGGTATGTGTATCTCGAAATGATAACGAAACACGGCGCAAAGGACTAAAACAATTAGCGATTCAGCCGTTTATTATAAAATGGCTACCGTTGCATTCGGCGGGGTTTTCGGTCGCTTAAATTTCGCGCTACGTGTAATAGAATTATTCTTTTATTAATTAAGGTTCAGGCGATAAGCTTGCCAACTCTGTACACGAATACCTATTGTATTCATACACCTCCTGTAGTTAGTAGAGACCATTATTTCGACGCTTGTTTTAATTAAGTACCTACATTTTTTTTAAGTTGAAATTATTAGTTAACCCAAATAACCACAAACTCTATACCCTTTTGTTTTATTTATATAGGTATCGTTCATGAGCTATAAATCGCTAGGATACATTAATTGAACAAGTGCGCAAATTATATCGATTTAACGCTAAATTTAATTTGCGCCCGTGTTGGCGAAACCTATGCGTTATTTTCGAAAAAAAAAAGAAATTAAACAACATCGCGTGTCCGTGACACATTCGCGGTTGCGGTTCTGCGAAAATTATCAGCCAAAAGTCCCCCGGTCGCCCCCGATCTTCCGCCTCGATTTTAATTGTCGGTGTAACTGTTGATGACAAAGGCCCGCAGAAAGGCCGACGTACGATTTTCTTCATTTAATTAGCGAAATTATTATTTGGCTCGTCGGGTCGGATAAATGTATAATTTAATGCTCTACGTCGACGCTCTTAATTAAATTGCGAAAATCTTTACGTCGGGCCGCAAAAGTCTGTTGCACACGTACGTGTGTACAAGTTCCGAGTTAGTTTCGTGCGGTGGTTGTACCATTCGCTAAATTAATTCTAATGAGTTATATAGAGAACGACGGGACTGTTTTGCGACACTATAGAGTTTCTTTTTACCGGGCGGTGGAATAAACTCGCTGTCTGAGACACCTGCGAATGATTACGTGCGTTTTGAATTTATGCCTGCGAGTGGTTTTCCACTAACTACTACACATGGAATAGTTATGTATGTACTAACGAGGGACTTTTTAAATGATATCAAACTGTAATTTACGATACTCAATACTGGTCAATTAAATTAATAATTAAATAGTAAATCTTTATGTGTACTAGTTTTTGAGTGTGCTATTTTTGTATAAAAGCTTCAAATATTAGCATAACTATTTTTACCACACCTGCTTATTAAAATTCACTATAGCAGGTGTCCTTAATTAGTAAATACATATTAATATTAGATCATTAATAAATTGTTATTCAAAAATTTATGATTAATTTAATAACAAAATTAACAGATTTGCATGATTTTTAATTTAATATTCCTTTGTCGAAACGCCGAATCTGCGCCGCGAATTTTCGATAATAAAATGCACGTTCGAATGAAAACGTATTTCTCGTTGACGAATTTTTCGTTCGATTCGTTCATAATACACTTGTGCGTGCTTTTAATATGAAAGTAACTCCCGAGTAAAACGCTTTTGATTGATCTTTGTATTCCGTGCACAGTAATGCACCCGGCCACGCCGTCGTCGGGGGATTTTTCCAAAAGGGGATTTAAATTTGAATATATATTGATGATGACTCGGCTGTACATTCAGTACATATAGTACGAGAAAATTTATCATCCATTTTATTCGTTACTTATACCTAGTAAGTATGAACTGGAGTTTTTGTCTATCATAGTTTCATTTCTGATAAAATATGAGTAGATTATATTCACGAATAGTGTAGACTGTAGAGTGTAGACTAAATAGATCATTCTAATCCAGTCAAAGAACATTACCAATTAAAGTTGAGAAATTGTCAGGATCTTAAACAGCTGAGGAATGATTTAGTTTTAAACACATAAAAAGCTAATTTCTGCATCAAAAGTTTTTGAGAAATGAACGAACCAACGACACAAGACAACAGAAATCTGGCCAAACGCGGCCACAAGGTGTGTATGTACAAAAATTTCCTGTACTATATTTGGATGTTGAAATATTCTCGTTAAGTACGCACGTTAGTTAAATATTTCTTTCACGCCTTTTGTGCCCTTTTGCATCTCCCGGTGGCGTTGAGTATACATGCCCCGGTGACTTGCCGTTTTTTCTCCGAGCGACAAAGGGGTTTTTGTCGCCAGAAAACACATCTTTTTGTGGCCACAAAACTGAAACTCGATTTGTCTCTCGTCATCCAGCGCATTAAAGCACGACTGCGTTGCTGCGTTGTTCTTCTACTTTTTTGTCGGGGAGTCCGCTGGCCGGTTCACCCTAATTAAATTCTCGCTTAGATAAATCGAATGTGTGGTTTAGTTTAATGGAATTAAAAATCGGGTAATGTTTTTAGGTTTTAGAGTTTTGAAGTACGCTAGATGAATACCTGTGTAGAAAGTGTTTGATGGCTTTGAATGGAGAGAAAAATTGTCTGGCTGCAATTACGCAAGTAATTTAAAACTAATTAAAAGCGCGTTATTAAGCAAACTAAAACGAAATTCGCAATTAATACTTCGTTTTGTTCGGTGGCGACCATTAAGAACCCATTCGAAGGGGCACGTCAAACGGTCTATTTTCACCTTGGGAACTAATTACCCTTTTTCGAACTTCCACTTCCAAGGGAGCCTTTTTTTTGGAAAAAGTTCGTGCCGAGAAACGGCCCAAAACAAAAACTTAATTGAAACATGCAGGTGGACATAAACGTAATCGATGCGTAACGCATTATTTTTTGTTCGTTCCTTCTTTGGAGTTTTTGGGATAATATAGATCGAGCAGGGCCGAATTCGAAAATTTGCATTTCGATGAAAAATTGATAACCCGCCGCCGGAGCGGGTGCCGGCCTAATTAAACTTCACTAACAAATTTCCTACAAAACTTTTAATTAGTCGGAACAAGTAAATCGTGAAGATAAATTGACCGAATAATGGAGCCGGTTCTGTTCGAAAGTTTTCGTTTTCGTCGAACGGGATAATTTATTTCCCCGAGTTATTAATCTAGGAATTTCGATGCGCATTTTTCACGAGGGTAATACGAAATTGGTTTCAGTTTTGTTGCCGTCGTCGCCGCTGTTGTTCCTCAAAATAGACCTAATCGTTTCGGTCCTAATGATTCGCCTTCAGGCGCTTCTACCGACGGAACAGCTACGATACAACGCCGATCATCGGCCAGGCGCAAACATAATTCCGTCGAAAAAAAACCGAGTGAATTACGGTAAACCGAATGACAATGACGGATTCGAATTTCGTCTTCTATCAGCGGACGGATCATCACATTCGGCTGTTACTCATGATCTACTTACTGATGGTAGAACAACGGTCACGATTCCTCGATAGAATCTGAAACGGTGATCACTGCGAAAAGATTAGGAAATTTACGCCAGCTGCTCGGCCGACGTTTCGTCACTTTTGGAAGCTATTCAATTTAAATTTATGGTAAATTCGAGAAGCTAAATAATGATATAAACATTTATCGATCAATCACCGATCGATTAATGTTAATTGTAATTAAACTAAGAAGGTCTGTCGAGTCAATACTACTCAACTTAATACTAACACTATTTTTAGGAGAAAGGAATTTTTATAGCCATTATAAATAACCCAAATAATCCAAAAAAATATTGTTTAGTGTAAGATTGAATAATTAAACCCCTATTCCCAAAAAACCAACATCTTCTAATCCCATTGTACCGAGCTAAGACGCAATAATTCCTTCTAACACTGATTTTTAAACTGATTATTAGCCATAAAATTGGAGATTAAAAACAAACCTTTCGAAGCAAAAAAAACATGATAAATGAGACCTAATCTCATAAAAGCTATAAAAAACTACATATAAATCTCGAGAAACTTAGGGGGTTTTAAGGAGGATTTTAATTTTTTCGAACGGGTTTAAGTGAGATTTAGTGAGAATGCGCGAGATGGATGCATTACCATAAATTTACAGTTAAAATAAATAAAATAACAAAATCAATCTTTCAAATATATCTTCATTTTTCTTAAGGAGCAAACTTAGCAAAATAAAACAATAAATTATAAAAGTATATTTGCAAATTGATCCATTAAGTTAATTACCGAATTAGTCTCTTATTCGAAGGAACAAATTGCGAAAAAACCATTTACGCGAGATGATGCTAATTAATAGAGTAAATATGAAAATATACGAGACCAATGGATGAATATTAATCGGATTTTGCTAATAAATTCGCGATGTTACCACCCATGATCAGTGGCAAAACAGACCGACGAATCAGAATGGCCAATTAACGGGAAATTAATTTCGGAATATTGACAAGTTTGTTTACGACTATTAATTGGCGAATTTTTTATTGTCTATTTCGCATGCAAATTTAATTCGCGAGTTAATTTACATGCTAATACGTAATACTCTAGAAGAGTTTTTATTTGCACATTAAAATCGTTCGTTGGGAAAAGATAATATAGTATAGCGGACTTAAAAAGTGAGGCAGATGAACTTATATTTCGGTTACTTTAGTATATGCGTGGCATTCTAAAAAATGCCTCAATATTAGGATATAAATTCATTGTAAACACACAATGAATATGTTTGGAGAATCCGCTCAATATAACAACGGAACACGAATTCGAGGAATGTTTAAGAACCCGCATGAATTCTTGAATTATTTAAGCTACTTTCGTACCGAATAAAAAGAAAAAAATAACCTTACCCTTTCCAAGCAAGTAGCCCGACATTGCGCCACCCTCAGAGGACTCCCGACATCCTGAGCCCCTCCGACGAAGACGTCCAAACTCCGCAAAATCACCAAGCAAACCAGCGATCGTCCAAAGCCGCCCATCGCTAATTGGAAGCCCCAGACAAACGACAAAAAAAAAAGAATCCACAAAGCAAAATAAACCACAAACCACTTCCAAAAAAAAAATCAGGAAATAAACCAAACACCAAACAAAAATACTCTCGTTACTCGCTCAATAAAGGCGTCGCGACGCTTTCGAATCGACTGCACCGAGACCACTTCGTACGATTTACGTGGGTATCGAGTTTGCGTTTCAGACCAGCACGACGCGCGTCCTCACTCCGTGCAGCTCTACACCGAACTGAAGCGACCGAAACGGCGAAACTGAAAATGTAATCCTGAAATTCCGAGCATCCAGCGGAAGACGACAGATACACACGAAGGCCGATGGAATCGGCTGCCGTCGGTGCGCGGCGGACGTCGCTCTCGGGGCGGCCTAAATCAGGGGGTTGAAACGAAACACCACCGAGCTGATTAGCACAAGAAATTGTTTTTTTTCAACAAAGACCACCTTTCACGCTGCATTTATGCCGGGAGTATATAGTAATACTAGTTCACTACCTGCTGCAATATGACATGGGATTATTTTCTAGGAAAGTATTTTATATGCCCTAGTAGAGTCCTAGTGATACACATTTATGTATCCAAAAGGATTCAAATTGTCGAGTTAAAATGAACCAAATAATTTACCTAACATCACCACTTATTTATCTGATCAAAAAGTTAAGTAATTATCTACCCAATAAAGGGTCTTTTGAATCGAAAATCCACCCCTAAAAACTAGCACCTCTCGTAAAAACCACGACAATGATTAATAAATCAACTACCAAATAATCTCAATCACTCACATCCACCCAGGTATAAATGTCTACAAATTAACGCGCTTAAATTATCGATCAAATTACACACGGGTCTTGCTGTAACAAGACCAACCCCGGCGGAGCGCCCTGTTCCCCCGAATCCGGGAACAAACGGTTGTAACAATGTTCGTCGGTGTCGTACAAACGACGAAACAATTCATAACCGAAAGCGACGCGCCCCTTCTTCGTGCGTCGTTGGCGTCTTCGGCAAAAAGTGCCCGCCCGCGATCGCCTTCGAAAGGCCCTGCATAGGGGCCGAGGGGGCTCGAGCGAGGGGCCCGGTTGATGGATGGACGGATTCGGTGTTAAGATATTGCGATACCGGCGATGGCTAACATGACTTATAGTCTATAGGCGATAAGGGGAGAACGTCAAAACATCGGACCTGTGATAGCTATAGTTGCTGGAATATACAAGGCCACTTTTTTTGGTTCAAATGCAAGGTATAAAAGCGAATTTTACAGCTCTTCCGCTTCCATTCTAAATCTGAACACAAACAATGCGACTGAAGAAACCCCCGTGGAAAAAAACACACCCGGAAGGGGTAGGGTGACGGTGCACAATTACGAATTGTCTCGTCGTTTGTACACCACGCCTATGGGTTTTTAAGTGCCCTTACGCGAAACAAGAGCTAATAGTTATCTGCAAATACCTCCACGGGTGACGGACGCCTGTACGAAGGGGTTGGGGCCTCTTAAGGGGTGGGCACCAGCCAGCTTCGAGGACATTGTTTACCTCATGGCGGATTGTTCGGGAGGCAGTGGATGCGCGGCGGCCATGAAATCCTCTCGAATTCAAATATGGGGTCTGCATACTTTTGTCTTATCCCGTTGCTATTGCACAGGGTGAAGTCTCGTATATTTGCGAGTCGAATAAGAATTATTTTTCTGCGTGTTCGGAGTTTTCGAATCGACCAAATTCGAATTGATATATGAGTTTTTAGAGGCGCTGTATCTTATCTATATGCAAAGTGGAGGACCGGGTCAAAGTGAGTATATGCGAGGAGGAGCTTCCGTACGCGTATAGGTGATGAATTTAATGCCGTCGAGACGGGGACGGTTTTTATTTGGTCTCTTTTTTTTCGATAAAAATACGCGAATATCTCCACACTGTCAACTTTACTTATTACAGTCGCCGCGAAATGAATACGTAAACAGAATGTTTATCTAAATTTTTTTAGTCCGTGGTTTCCAACAACGTCGGGTGTAAAATTGTCTCGTTGATATTTTCCCAACATGGTGGGTTAAAAAATAAAAATAATTCTAATTTCCCAATAAGAAATTTACGAGTCACTGCCAATTATTTTTGAACATAGGCAATAATTCTAGTAACTGCGTATTGAATTAAATATTGGTAAAACATTGACTTTGTATCGGTATATTCTCTATTCAATATGTGTAAATTCCGAACAGATTCATCTCATCGATTTAATTAAACCCTTTTAAACTAACGTGGAACTAGTTTTTTCAATATTCGTTCTGCGAATAACTTTACATGCAAAAAAATAAAAAAGTCCGAACCACCGGAGACTAATGATGTCAGGGTTTCTGTAAATTATGAACCGGTAGAAGAACGGCGATTCTTTATTTCCACAAATAGTAAATGCAGTCAATTAAGATATTTATAAATTAGTCTTGCATTCTTTTAAATTACATCAGATTACTTACCGGTCGAGATGTTTTTATACTAAAAGCTCGGGCAATTAAGGATACGTTGATGGGGACATCATAATTATTGAATCGGTTTGGAAGCAGAGTCGTATCGGGAATGTAAATGTAAATTAACTTTGCTACGCAGACTGTATAAAGAAATGCGCAAATTACTTATACGAGAATAAACCGAAGATTGATCTACATTATAGACTTACAGGAGGATGATTTATAAATGATATATTGTCGGCTGATAAATTTAGTAGACTTGAAAATACAATTCGTATTTAAATAAAAATAAAAATCGGACACGAAATGTTAGTACAATCTAATGGTTGGTGTAATGAAATTTTTAAAATCCTCGCGAATTTTACTGGCTTCGCAAGGACGTTTGAGGGAGAAGCACTTATTTATAGCTAGAGAAATGCAATTTAAAAGACGCGTTTCCACGTTGGCGGACAGCATTTGCATAATTCACGCCGAAGAACGCGAGACAAGACAAATTCCTCGCAGTTTTCATTATAATCCCATCTCTCCTGGCGCTCCCCTTGTTCGCCCGCGGTTCATCCGACCTGCGACGGAATTTTCGCGATTTTCACGTGCCCGTACAGCGGTTAATGGAGTACCGAGATGTTTACCGATTTTTTCGCGTGGGCTTTTTCAATTACGGCGCCGACGAAAATTAAAGTTTTACCGTCTGTTTTCTGTCGTTTATATCCGGAAAATCCGTCTAGTTTTCGAGCTGCGAGCGCTCCTCGGAGAGGAATATTTTCCCGAAAAAACCCCCTTATACGACTCCCGGCGCTGCAATAAGCGTACACCCCATTTTTTTGCCGTTGTTGCTTCGACGTAAACTTTCATCTGAACTTTATTCCTTCGCGGCAATAACAATTTTCTCTTCGGGCGTCTTTCGCAGCACCGCAATCTTCTCGCGAGCGGTCCTCGCGGGACTATATTGTCTACGTGTGCAACTAATAAACACACAACAACCTAATCAATAGTTCAAGGGAAACGCTTCGGACAGGAATTTCGGCGAATGAGAATTTTCCACTTTTACGACTGTTCCAAAGGAACGGTTCTATTGACCCTCTAACTTTCATTTTAATCTAACAAATGGTATTTTAAACAATTCCATAAACATGACTGTTTCATAAAGAATAGAAAATTACAAAACCTGTAATGATAAAACATACCATTAATAAAAAAAACTTCGCTCAATCCTCATTTGAAATTGCAATGAAGGTTTAATTAAATTCAAATATCTACGTAGGTATTCGCAGGTAAATTATAATGTTTTGTAGTGTATCTTCTTAATAATTGGATTATGTTTAGCTTCTTCAGTGCAAGGGTTGTGTAATGGCTGTCGTTTTTAGGGTCGTTGGTAAAGTTTTATTAGACGTAGCATACGAATTGCGGTTAAATAATTCCCGAAGCGGGAAAGTTTTACCTTTTGTTAGATTTAGTGCTTGTAATTTAATTCCGTATTTATGGAATTCGGGAATTTTACGATTTTATAGAACAAATTGAAATCTAAAAATTAAACTGCCGAACATTTTAGCGTACCAACAACTCCTCGTTTCGAATGTTTTATAGGCATGGTTTTGACCGATCTCGCCCTGTATGCAAGCAAAAAATTATTGCATTGAAACCGGTGGAAACCGGCGTACGAAATTCGCAGGCATTTATTATGACATGCCGAGAAATACAGGTGTTAAAAGTCGGCATTTTAACCATTTCTCCGGTTATAAAAATTTGCATTTCGTACGTAATCTTACGATTGAAAAGAGCGAAAACTGAATCATTATTTTTTTATTAACGAGTGTTACTAAAGATTACAATATAATACACGCAATGTGCAAAAAAATCCTGCAAGACCTCTACACTTTTATCTTCATACAGGATGTTACTCGAAAATTTGCATTATCTACATATTATTTATAATTTTTATCATCCCAAAGTTTCTTGTTAGTCAATCAAGGATTTACTAAAAATTAAATAGACCATTCACCCTTAAATGAGGTTATTTAACTTTTTCTACATAAATACCAAATTTTGAAGGTTATTTTAGAATTAGTTTATTCATTTGTATTGCATATATCTACATGGAACACCCTGTATACCCAAAATGAATTGATGTTGCATAAAATTTTAATACATTACACAAAAAATTCAAATGTATGCGTATATTTTTTTTTCAACAAAATAACGAGATTGATTGCGGTCTATACTTACTGCACCTGACGGTTTACTGCATACATAGAGTCCGCGAACGGTCGAATTTTGAGGTAAAATAAAATGCATTTGCATAATGAAAAAAAATCTAAACCCGAAAGAGAATTAAGTAAATTTATATGAAAATAATTCGCAGGACTTATGGATGTATAACGTGGAACAAATTACAGTTTTAGATGTGTAATGCTATGCTAATGGGCCTGTAAGAAAATTGAAACAATCACGAACGCTTGTTGAACTAGGTATTAGAGAGGCTCGTTTGAGGATTTTTCGGCGGGCATACTGTTCGAGCAAATTATTTCTTCTACAGCCGAAACTATGTGCCCTCC